CAGCCGCAGCTCCCGGCGGACGAGGAGGTGGGGGAGGGAGACCGGCCCGGAGGTTGGGGGAGAGGCCTGGAGGCCCCGGGCTGGGTCCGCCGCAGCCTCCACCACTCGCGGCCTATGGGGCAAGCTCAAGCTGTGCCCGATGAGGCAGGAAACTTTCCGACCTGGTGGGGAAAACATCAAAACAAACGGCCGTCAGGCGCCTGTGCCCGCCCGCCTCAGCCCTCGCCCCGCTCAGCCAGCCCCCCGCCGGCCCCCGCCGCTGGTCACGACCTCGGCCCACCTCTCCGCAGACGGGCTGCGAGGATTTGGAGCCGGGACGCCACGACGGGTCCTGCCTCCCTTGCCGCCGCCGCCGCCTCAGCTTACCTTGCCAGCGCCGGCCGCCATAGTGACTCTGACTGAAAGCTACCCGGTGCACCGCCACGGGAACGCGCACCCTTCAAGGGCCCTCCTACCCCCTCTCCCGCGCCGTAGTCCGGGGATGTCACGTGGGCGACGCCGCGGAAGCCGTGTTGGTCGAGGGCAGGAGAGAGGGCAAGCTGCTTTTAAACGAGCCTCCGGGCGCCATTTTAGTTTAGGGCTGGAAGCTTCAGACTTCCGGACAACCCCGACGACCATTTTGGTTAAGGGCAAGAAAGAGTTTGAGAGGTTGAAGGTCTTCTAAACTAAATGGCAACGTCCCCTCATACCGTCTTAGTAAGAAGGTACCAACTTTTACTAAATTTTATTTGCTTTAATTCTCGTTGAAAACACTAGCGAGCAGAAGAATAGACCCAGCCAGAGGACATGTTCGTTAGTAGCCATCTTAGCTGTGGGCAAGAGTCACTCACAGCCGTCTTAGGTGTGAGCACCCCAACTTCCTCAAGTGCAGGATTTGTGCATCGAACAGAAGATCCAAACTCTCGCTGTTAATTTCTTCGCAGTGTTTCCTTCCCGGAGAAAAAACTCTCACTTCCCTCATTCCCTTTCAAATGACCGTCCTCACTGGACCTCGTATGGCTTCTACGGGGATTCTACCCGGAAGGAGTGAGTTCAGAAAGTTTAAAACCATGTTGCTTCCAAAGAGAGGTCCAACCATTTCCAAATTGAAAAAAAGAAGTATAGTTACCACTCACAATATTAAAGTAGATGAAGAATCTAAAGAAGGTCTAAAGAAGGAAAGACTTTGCAAAAGCTAAACGAAAACTTAAAAGATGGTAGGAAGGAGTCTTGTTTAGAATCAATGGTGACTTCAGCAAATTCTTGTGACAACAGGCTCCACCACTGTGTAACCTTAAGCAAGATTCTAAACCTTTTCAAGTCTCTTTTTTTCATCTGTAACATGGAGATGATGGTTAAGTCACTTCTAGTAAGACTTAAAAGTGTTAATCCATGTTGTTCAATTAAAAACAAGCAAATATCCACTTCAATACTAATATATGGGGTTTTGGCACTGCCCTGTGTTTCGTGCTGGGCCCTGGAGACACCTAACCTCATTCCCTGCCTTTTAAGAGCATAAGGTATTGTGGGTTAGAGACAGGGAAGAGGTGACAAACACAGATAGTTTGATGTAATCAGGGTAAAATAGACACAAGCACTAGTGCCTCCAAAGAGGTCAGGGATGGCCTTCTGCAGGAGAACCGAACTAAATGACGAGAGATAGGAAAACCAAAATAAATATGGTATTTTGCTGAATGGTTTCATAAATTTCCACGAAGAGGGTTAGCAATGAAAGGAAAGAAGACACTTGAAGCAGCTCACCAATATGCCTGCCACGTAATAGTGCTTAGGTAAATATTTGATGCATGAATGAAAAGTATAGGATGGGCACGGGGGCTCACACCTGTAGTCCCAGCACTTTGGTAGGCCAAGGTGGGAAAATCTCTTGAGTCCAGGAGTTTGAGACCAGCCTGGGCAACATAGTGAGACCCCATCTCTATAAAAATAAATAAAAAGATGAAAAAAGAAAATTACATACTATTACTCACTGTAAAGTAGGAGTGGCAAAAAGTAAACTGGAAACCATGTGCAGTGGCTCAGCCTGTAATCCCAACACTTTGGGAGGTTGAGGCCAGCGTATTGCCTGAGCCGGGGGTTCGAGACCAGCCTGGACAACTTGGTGAGACCTCATCTCTACAATAAATCACAAAAACTAACCAGGCGTTTGGCATGCGTCTATAGTTCCAGCTACTTGGAAGGCTGAGGCGGAAGGATCACTGGAGCCCAACATGTCAATACTGAGGTGGTTGTGAGCATGCCATTGCACTCTAGCCTGGGCAACAAGAGTGAGACTCCAACTTAAAAAAAAAAAAAAAAAAAGTAAGCTGGAGTGGATAGGCATTATATTACAAAGACTTTATATACCTTTTTCAGGCTCTTCATCAATTCTGCAAATATGTATTGAGGTACTACTGTGTTCCAGATACTTTGTTCTGGAGAAAAATAAGGATATGTTGGAAAGCTTTTTATAAGAGGATAAAAAGTTTTCACTTCTGGTAACTTTTAAGCTTTTATTAATTCTATGCATGAATTGTAAGAGGTATGCATTCTTTCTTACCTTCATTCTGTAAATATTTAATTGAATGCCTATTGGGAAATAGATGCTTTGAAAGCTCCTGTAACTACAACAATGAAAGAAAAAGGACTCCTTCAAGTTGTTCAATTTAAGTGATGATACAGTAAGATCCTTACTATAACGGAGTATGTCAAAAGTAGTGGAAACATGGCAGAATAGTTTAAACTGAGACTTGAAAAATAAGTAGGAGTAGGCTAACTACTCTAGTGCTGATGGGATAAAGAAATTTTAAGACAAGAAAACATCATCAACAAAGGCCCAGAGACTCCAGAGAACAGAACTTTAAGGGAACTGCAAGTGGGTCTGTATCACTGGAGCATAAGGGCTGAAAGAAAGGTGAGGCATGGGTTGGGTGGGGAGATGTAGTTTTAGTTGCTGGAGGACTGATAGGCAATGCGACAGATTTCAGAACATTTCTCTTCCTCCTACAAGGTCAAAGAGGAGTAATGAAAGTTAAGGTTATAAAATCAGATAGGGCATTGCCATTTACCAGCACTGTAAATGGTAAATTATTTAGCTTCTCTAAATTTCAGTTTCCCCATTTGAAAAAAGTAGATAATATCTCACAGAGTCTTGTTGGGATTAAATAAGACTGCAAGATAAAATGCCAACCATGAGGCCTAGGAAATAGTAGATGATCAGAGAACATTAATTTCTGTTATTACTGCTAATAGCAAGAATCTCCCCAGCCTTCCACATACAGTAAGGAGCAAGTTGTTTTATCTCTAACTTGTATATGGAGAAACTTGATCATAAATGTAGAAACAAAAATAGTCTCTTTACGTTCAGTTTTACTGTAATATCTCATAAAAATTAATGTTAAACAACAGAGTGGGCTTTCTTCCACAAGAAAAGCTGGGACTGCTATAACCTGGCAGGATAAAGAATCCTACCAAGCTACACAGGGTACTGGAAATGCCAAAATGGCATTGAGGGCGTTCTTCACCCACTGATATTCTGTAGGCACAGAAAAGGCTTAAATTAAGAACTCTCATACATGAGATATTTTGAATTCTAAGCCATGTGGGTGTTCCCCTTTATGGTTCTGTATCCACACAAAATTTTTATTAAATAAAAACCACATCATGTTTTGAGAAATTTGGAATGGCAGTGTTTCCTTATGTTGTAGCTTTCTCTCCCCTTTTACATTTTTGCCTTTTTATAGAATGATAAATATTACCACTGCTATGATTCAAGCTACTTTTCAATCTTACAAAAGCAAAGAGAAAATAGTAAAATTATTATTGTAATACCATCAAAGATGGGCAGTTATTAGTATTTCACATGTGTAGGAGACAACCCTATAAACTCAGTTAATAGGCAGCCCTCCCTAATTGACAATAATCTAACTGGATTTTAGCCAATGGCATATGTGTTGAATATAATACATTATGGAACATTTGCATAACTGCTTAAGCAGAGTATCTGGATTGCAAATATAGGTAAGCAAACCAATTAAAGAAGAAGCCAGGAGTACTCAAAGATCAAAATTGAGAGTATATAATATTTTTAATGGCACACACTGGCTTATTAAAAATGATGTTTGATCCCCTTTCCATTAAGGAAGTTTCTCCTCATCAGGGATATTCTAATGAGTGGAAATACCCTGTCATTTCCCAGGTGCCCAGGGTGGAGTGGCCCAGACATTCCAGAGGCACTGCTCATGTGTTTTTGGCTTGCTGGTTATTCAGGAAATAAAAGAAAAATAATTACCTGAAGACAAGTAAAGATATTTGTTTTTCATTTAGCAATCTTTTTCTGTGAATATAAAAAGAGGGAATCAGATTATCAACTCTAGAAAGGACCATTGACAACGAATTCATCTTCATTTTACAAGGAAGGAACCTAAGGCTCAGAGAAGGAACCTTTACTGAATGTGAATTTACCATGTGATTGGCATTTTCGTCATGACATCCCTGTGTATTAAGTATTAACCCTATTTTACAGGGAAAAAAACTGGGGCTCAGGCTCAAAGATTAAGAAAATTATTAAGAATCTCAATCTTGGGTTAAGTGACTGATCTTAAATCACCACAGTACCCTGGGGTGTTTTTTTTTTTTTTCCTTCTAAAACAAATTTTGACAGATTTTTTTTTTATTGATAAAAGAAATACATGCTCATTGCATATATTCAAATAAACAAAAGTAGGGAAAGTAAAAGTCTTCTCTAGCCCCATCGCAAATAGCCAGTCTAGTGCTAACTACTATTAACAGTGGG